GTCCGAATGCTTCTTGGTTTCCAGCCCTCACTGAACTGTGAACTGCAGGAAGCTACACGACGCAAGTTACTCTTAACGCTGTGAAGCGCACTTTATAAAAGTTGGAGCAGTATTGAAAAGAAAAATTACACTATATGGAATGTCAAAACTCGGGTTTGGTTAACTCAGCTTGGCTGGTGTTTCGTAAATACGGCTCATATGCAGACTGCACGAAGCATTTCTGCTGACAAAGTAATGGCTTTTTCATTTGCCGTGTCATTGTTTTCCCGAAAATGATAACGGTATTTCAACAACAAGGCCTTCTAATAGGCATTTTCAACCGGGTACCACATTCAATGAGAAGTAGATTGAATGAATTTATTTGGATTATTTTGTAATTATGAATAAAATTGAGAAAACACCGGGGGGAAGAATGGCGGAGATAGAAAGTGGTGTTTGGTGCTGTCCAATCTTTGATTTGTTGACAGCTCTGGACGCGCCGGCTCAGGCGCACAGCCGGTGGTGTGTTCCGGGTCTGCAGGAGCGAAGCCCCTTAGCGCCTATTGTTCTGAGAGACTGACGCTTGTAGGTGATTGACCCCTGATTCTTCTAAAACGTGACCCTCAATTTCAGTGGACAATTTAGCTTTAGGAAATGGATTTATACAGTCCCAGAGGTTACCTTTCAAGCACCACCGAATCGCTTTCTTCTAAACGACGCGTGAGCTGTTTCAAGAGTTAACTGATATTTGCACGTTTGTATTTTAATCTAACATTTAATGAAATAGTTTTCATTAGAATGAATGTATAATGAAAATTGACGTAGTCATGTTACGTTGGGGGAGCATAGTTTTGCGTATCCTTATCGTGATCAGAATATACAGAATTTTGTAAAATTATAGCTAATTAAAATCCATTATGTGATTTTACAGTTTTGCTATGTTTGCAGTGTCTCATTTTCATTACTGAACTTTTGTGATGAATGGATAAACCTCTCAAAGTGGGCGATTACTCAGATAAGTGAAAGTGAGGCTTTTCATTCCATTATGATACAAATAAAAGTGTTCCCCTGGTAGGACATGTGTATTTTGTTTTTATGTTCAATACTAATGACACAAAAAACATCCAAGTGAACACTAAAAAAACATGGTATTCCCCATCAATCATTTAATGAGAATCCTCTTTTTCTTGATGGAGATCATAAAGAATTTAAGGTTCTGGGTAGCTTCAGCCAGTATACAGCAAAGTAAAAGGAACCAAGGTGGCAAAAAGGAAAAGAGAAAAACAATGTGGAAAAACAAATGAAGCTGCAGCACTTTATTTAACTCTGCTATCCTGTCTTGACAATAAACCTCACCCATTCAATGGAAATTAATCAACATGTTAAAGTGATTCAAGATCGATGTGCAAGCCTTATCCTGTTATTCCAACAAGATCCCACACAACTGGGCATTGATTTGCAATATCCCCAAATCTGATCCTATAATCCTCGCTCTCTTATCCTTATAAGGGAAGTAAATGTGATTGAGGAACGGTTGGAGTTGCACTTAACAACTGTGGAGAAACTGGAGTGTTTCACAATCATAAGAATAAATCTGTTTGGATAAATTATGCCTGCATTAGTATTTGCTGAAAGTATTGGCTTCATATGTGAAGGCAAATGTGAGCAAACCCAATTTAAGTGCAATTCCAAACATAACAGCTTTTCATATGCTAAGCCTCTTATAAAGCTGCGAAAGTGTGCTGTACTGACTGAGCGAATGAAACAACATCTCTACAAATCTGTTTTTCCATCATTGGCCTTTAGAATTCCGCGCTGTTTGGCTGGCTGTGTTCTTGTAAAGTGTTTACGGGAGAGGGCGTTTGAGACTGTCCGTGCTCTGGGACCTCCAGGGACATCAAGGACCACTCTGGCTCCTCCACATCACTTCAAAAATTTACCTGCACGGTTACAATTTGAAAGTCATTTTGAAGATGCTCACATTTGTTTGTCTTGTTGTCATCTGAGCTACATTTCCATGAGAAAGTCCTTATTTGCCCACTGCGTGTGCACTCTGTGGGTGTGTTGCCGGAGTTATACTGTATGTTCAGCCATTCAACAACACTTTTCCACAGGACCAAGGAGAGATTTGCTTGAGAAAATAGTACGATGCACTCCTTATGGGTGGGCTCATTCTAGATATGGCTGTTAGTGTGTACAAAGAAGTGCCTTGATCGTGTTGATCACGGGTAGGAGGTACACCTGCTCATACTACTTTCAAACTAAAAATGTATTCTAATCCTGGTTTTTCAGAAAATAGAAAACAGAATCTTTAAAATAAAGCAATGGATTTTGTCAGTATGGTCAGTCATGCAGTTTGGCATGGTGGCACAGGGGTTGGCATTGATGGAGCCCTCGGTTCATCTCCAGACTGTGTGGAGTTTGTATGTTCCCCTCTGCTCGAGAGGATGGATTGCCATTCGACTATATCATTTTATATGGTCAGATTGTGCAATCTCACAGACATGAGGACAGGTCCACCAGAATGGAACAATATTTAAAATAGACTAGGCCTAACAGCAAATGATTATGGAATTTGAAATGACTAAAAAAAAAACTGTTCAAGTGAGCTTGTTGGCATGTTTGTGACAATGGCACATTATATTGCATTGAAAGTGTGTTACATTGATGTTAAGCATGATGCACATCACAGTTAAGCACTCTATTGCCCTTCGTACATTTTCTTTCTTCCTATCACTTTGAGCTTCAGTGCTTTGTCATTTATAAATGAAGAACTGTGTGCAACCTGTTATGGTGTTTAGGGCTTTCATAGGATTTCAATATCCTTATGGCTTAGGCGGCCAGTTTGCCACTATCAAATGAAAAACGAAGATCTATCTCAATGATTCTTTCCTAGTAGTATACACACAAAATAATACTGCGTTGTAGTCCTGCATATTGCCATGTCTTGTGGGAACAATACAAATCTAGTATGTGGATAATGATAATTGTTACATTTCAGCTCTCTTGTGAGGATACGGTTGGAATTTCTGCTGTCAATTGTGCAGGACCTCTGGGGATGCATTCTTTTCTTCTCACTCTTCCATACTGTTTAAGTCTCCTAGAGTTGAGGCCCGTCTTTTGGCCTAGCAGAGAAGAAAGAATTTACTTAAAGAGACACAAGGGAAGGCAAACCCAGCCTATGTTTATATCGTTCTCCCAGATTGGGCCAAATTCCAGGGTATTAAGAAGAGTCTTGTTTGTTTTTAAAAATGGTGTTTTTTCCAGAGCGCTGTTGTCTGAATTTAATAGATTATTTAAGCATTTATATAAACACACAGCATTAATATGGTGTGAATTTTTTTAGTAACTTTTTAATACTTATGAATCTAGTTTTGTGTTTCAACCAACAGACTTTGAATTAACATAGTTTGAATGTGGATTAACAGTGATGAGTATGTTTTTTAATCCGTTTGCATTTATTGTTGAATACAGAGAGTAGGTTATAATTGATCTTAAAAGATATGGAATGATTTCTTACAGTGAAAGGGTCTACTCATTTTACTTTATGACCCAATCTCTCTTAAAGACACTAATCTACTGTACTTATTTTTTTGTTCGGCTGTGTACAATACTTGCCTGTGTTGTGGCATTCTTAATTCTAATTGTCCTGTTTAAGTTTCCATTCTCATTGAACCTTTGAATTTATTACTGTCATTAGAGCAGAGAAAATTCCAAGGTATAAGCTCAGTAGAAAATAACAGTGACACAGCCTTCTGATTCTGACTAGGATATGTTTTCAGTTAATATGGCTGTAATTGGCTGTCCTTTTTAAAAATTTAAAATCACCAATAATTTTTGTGCCACCTGCCCGATTTGAAACTGTCGCACAATGAAATTTCACACAATTTGAAATTTGAAGTTACGATCCCCACATACAGGGCAGAATGACTAGATCTGGGCAGACTCCCCCAAACCTCCCACATTCACGTCACAAGTCACATCACAGCAGGCAATGCTGCCCAGATCCGGAGGATCAGTGCTGACTGGAGAGGTGGACCACCTGCCTATAAGCATCTGGGAGGCAACAAAAGTCACTGTGTCACTGTGTCACTGTGTCACTAGTGTCACTAATCAAGAGAGCTCTGATGAGTTCGTCCCATACTGCACGTGGAGCTGCTTAACCAGTTGGAGAATCCATCGGCTGGCCAGTGACGTGACCTCCTTAAATAAGAGGCTCGAACCCGTGATCACAGAGATAAACCTGCTCTGAGGCGAGCACCTTTCCTGGCTGTGCCACACAGGTGCATCTGTTGCCTGTCCTTTTCAAACGGAACACTTTCTTTAAGCTACAGTATGTGCATAGATTAATAAGTCCTTACAGCAGTTTGTACACATGAAAGAATGGAATCAATTTCTCATTAGAGATGGAAAATTTGACTGTCCTTTATTCTGTTTGCTGTGCTTGCTTACAATAATTTCTAAGGTTTCTGACTAGACGGTTTAAATTGATATTACAGTATGTTGCCTTTTCCTTTAAATGCTGATTTGACATGTTACAAAAATATGTGAACAAGATTTTTTTTTCTATGCTACATGTAGTATTTTTCGATTCTGTATTGCAGCAGTGGTTCAGTTACCTTGGGCTACAGGATCAGCATTTAGTTGACTGCCACAGAACAGGGTGTGTGATTCTGAACATTTGTATTCGGTTTGTGTAATTGGTGGTGTGTTATGATGTTTTTGAGTTTTAGCTGAACTAGATACTACTTTACCATTGAGAAGGCAATGTTGATGTCAAAAATGTGTACACACACTGCAGTGAGACCCTGTAGTAGACAGAGTTGTGTGCAAATGGTCATTTTACAGAATGAGCAGAAGGTGTCAGGGGCACATTTGTTATCTGAACAGTTGTGGGAAAACATTCAAAATGTATTTTTGTATATAAAACTGTTCATAAAACTTTCGTGAGTCTGCTGTGTGTGCTGGATGAGAGCATTGGAACCTAAGGATTGAACATGCTGGTTTCTGTTGTTTCTCAGGTGGTGGAGCGCGAGTCCAAGATCCAGGAGCTGCAGAACATGATTACAGAGCTGCATCAGGAGATCTCCCTGAAGGATGAGGAGAAACTGATGCAGCTGAATGAGGTGCACAGGCTGGAAGGCAGAGTCAAGGAGCTGGCCCAGGAGGTAACGGCTGTTCTTGCTGTACTTTGCCACCAGAACACGTAGACACAGGAAATGCTCTAGACACTTGTGTTTAGTTAGACAAGTGCAGAAAAATGGACATCTTGCTAGGTAGCCCCTCATCTACTGTACACCAAGAATGGTCCTGTGATTTAATTTCGTAATTCAACAATAAGCCAAAGGACTCCAGCCACGCTATTTTTTCTGATAAACAATTATCTGAAGGCTGCAAGGAGCATTTAACACGTTTTTACCCTGTCATCCATTCTTCAGTACAGTCCCATTTTTAGGACATGCTTGTCCAGCTGCCTGTGTGTTTTAGTCACACTGTCAGTGTGTAAAATCCAGTGTTGCTATGCTGAGCTTTCTTTTCTCTTCACAGTGCAGCAAGACACTTGTAAATCCACTTCTGTAGCTTTTATTTCTTTAATGTGTCTTTAATGTCTTTCCTCCTGGAGCAGGTATGGAATGCAGAGGAGACCATTAGCCAGCTCAGGAAGGAGGTGGCTGGCACTGCGACTGGAGTGCGCAACACTGTGCTGGGCAGAAGTGTGAGTAGTTCAGGGAGTGTGTGCAAGCGAGTAATGGGGAGTTAATAACATTAAATATACAGATTTGTTTCTCAATGTTAAGATTTGCCAAATTGGACATTTTCTTGATTATTTTTTAACTCTGACTGTACAGAAGTAAAAGCTTTGGTCCCAGTACTTGCACTGTTATTGAACTTCTGGGAAGTTCACCACAGTGGAAGTAAAGAATGTCAGCTTGGAAGAAGGAATGACAACCAACCGCATGATTAGAGGAAGTAGGGACCCTCAGTCTTACTCTGGGAATTGGAGATCGAAAAACAAGCAGTTTCTCCCCCACCTGAAAGGATGAGCCAACTATCTCTTCATATTCACAAGCAGCTGGCACATAGCCCAGAGAGGGTGGGAGTTAATTTACTGTAATGAATTGTAATATTGTGCAATTTTAATCAGGGAGTAATTCTGCATAATTACCTTATAATTTCGGATAGGATTAGATTGTAATTACAGCTGTGGCTGAAAGGCAAGAGTTCAAGTGAAAAGCTAAATAGGACTGCAAATGAAGTTCTATACTTTTATCATTGTATTTCATATAAAAATATTGAAAAAATATAAGTACAGTCCTAGGTCACATGATTAAAACATTTCAATTTGCGAACCCTTCATGGATAGGTCTGGCAGAGTTGAGACATTATGAAGAGGATTGGCCTGAGTTATTGAACTGTGACAAGATTACAAAGCGTTTTTTCTCTTTAGTTATACGTTTTTGACCTGCAGTCATAATTGTATGTATTGTACACTTTTTTGCTCTTATGCATTTCAGTACAGGATAATGGTATTTATTTTTGCCGTTGAGGTAGCAAAACATTTGTAAGAAAAACATTTATGAACAAAATTTTGGGTTCAAAAGCTGAAACCAACTTCCAAGCCATGTTGTTGAAACGAACTCTGTGAGATCCTTTAAGGAAAACCTGGATGGAATCCTTGGATCATTAAATTACTACAGTACCTTCCAAAAGAGTACTAAGGGCAGGTTACCCTTTACTCTCATTTGTAACCTTTCTTCTCCTGTTAAATAGGCACTTTGTGACTATATGGTAGCCCAGAAAATCCTCCTAAGCATTTGTTTTGAAGTGAGGCACTTGGGAAAGATTGGGAGTTATTGATGAAAATGATGCAGGCTGGCCTCAGGATTCAGAGACGTTGTCAAGTCTGTTGCTTCTGTCCTGTACCACCCCCCCCGCCGCCAACCCCTAGTCCTCTGCTCCATCCCCAACACCAGCGGAAACACATTTGGAAGGAGAGACAAAGTCACACAACATTAGTTTGGTGGTGGCGGACAGAACAGAGAGCCATTACTCTTCTGTGACAGTATCAAAGAGGCCGGCAGAGCTGGGTGCGCCTACCCTAGGCTTTCGCTCGCCACGCGCCGCTCGCAGGAAATTGCCTCATACTTCAGCAGGCAGGAGGTGACACGCCTGCGACACCCACACATGTGTCACTTTCAAAAGCCAGGGCCTGGGTGGGACTCAGCTCCTATGTCAGCGACCAATTCTGAAAGGGAAAGCGGAGCAATTGGTGTAGATCAGGAAGGGGAAAAGCAGAGCGCCACAAGAAGGGAGTCAGTTTTGGGTGGAAACAGGCTAAATGTCACCTGTGAAGTGGAAAGAGCCATGGTAATGTTTGGTTTGATTTCGCGAGGGGGTGAGCGGAAGTTAGCCTAAGCTGCTATAGTAGCGAGAACAGCCCTGCCACATGTTCATCAGGTTGGGGAAATGACACCCCAGTTAGTGCTGCAAAGTGTTGAACCCAACAGTAAAGCACTCCTGTCCCCCCTGCTCTTATCTCGTATCCGAAACGTGGGTTTGGAGAGGCAAATGAACGCTTTGAAAACAGTGGAGTGCAGTTGGGCTTTTAACCGGACATGCATGAGTGTACAAACAAAAACAAAAATCAGTCTGCTATATACAGTTACTCTAAGATGTATACAGTAACAGGAGAAGGACAAGCAATACTTCTGTCGGTTTATTATATTTGACTATTCCTTACTGATATCACTTTTTAGGGGTGTTGAAGCTGGTGTCCCAGAGTATTTAGCTGGTAAACAACAGGAAACAGTAATTAGTGTATTGGGGTCTTAGTTTTATTCTGATTATTATTAGACCTTATTCCTTATTTGCTTTCTTGTGTTAGGTTGTGATGTTCTTGTAAATGTGCCATTCATTTGTTTCTCTTACCCGAAGAACACAAAAGGCGGAAGCAGATGACAGGTGAGCTCCTGCCGGAGTTAAGCCCGTTTATCATCTTCCAGTCCCCCCCCCCCCCCCCCCCCCACCCCAAACCCCCCCCCCACTCCACCAAACCCTAAATATCCTCCCCCATCTTAGAGCTCTCGAGAAGACGAGTGTTTATTACTATTCAAAACCAGCCTTTGTTGTGATTGTCTCTCCACTTTCTCTCCCTCTCCCTCGTTCCACTCTCCTTTCATTCTGTGCGAAGCAGGGGATTGCTGCAGCCGCTGCAGTGGTTTATGATTAGGAAGAGAGAGAGAGGGCTTCTCGGCAGGGCTCTCTGTTTTATATTCATCAAAAGGGGTCGCTTTGATTTGCAGGTTCTTTGACGTGACAGCGCAGACTGCAGAAAAGCCAACTAAATCGCACACTTACTCCAAGCTTTCACAACTCAGCCCAGCCCCACCCCCACACCACAAACCTGCCTTTTCTGCTTTTTTATTATTGTTAATATTTCTACCTGGATTGCCAGGGCTTTTTGATATTGTTCTCAGACTCACTGACCTGAGAAATTGTCCTTCCCTTGAGCAAAGACTGCGGTGAATAGCAAATGGCCGGTTGTTTGTTTTGTAATAGATCCAGCCTAAACTAATTTCTTTAATCAAACCCTGATCTTCTGAGATGTGTGACTACCCCCTCCTCTGGCTGGATCTTCAATGCAAGTGGGTGCCACTGTCCATCGCTATTCAGTCAGGGTGCCATACCGGTCTCAGCCTCAACGTTTTGCCTTTTTTATTCTTTTGTACGTTTCCATGTTGGCGGCCTGTTCTGCTATCCTCAGCTTTATATTTTCCATCTCAATCTTTAACTCTTGATTGAATCTATCAGTAATAAAATATGTATGTAGCAGTTTTTCCCCTCTTTCTCCTGGTTTGTGTCATTTTATGTGTTCCTTGGCAGAACTGAGGTTTCATCATTTTAAGTGACTTTATCTGAAATGTACATTTACCTGCATAATCAAGTGCTATCCAAAATATTGTGAGGAAATTAAGATGAAGTTTATTGATTTGTTCATTAATTCAAATTATTCTTAAGTACTAAGGGACACTCTTTAAGTAAAATAGTACTTTCTTTAGTAGCCTTGAACGTGCTGCTTTACTTTCTTTAAAGAAGCCTTTTGTAAACAGGTTAACCAGACAGTGTTTTCTGTTTGTAAGAACACCCTCACAGATTGGACCAATTTGCTGTCCGATTTGAGACGCACTTTGATACAATACATTTGTGTTCATGTAGTGTGGTAGACTCGTATACTGTTCATGCTATGGGCTTCTGTGTGAGTCTGGTACACAGCGCCAGTGGGCAACTCTGTTCCCTTGGTGTGGAAACAAGCGCTGTGGTTTAAGTGTTAAAACCCTGTGGCTCAAGGGAGCTGTGGTGTTGTTGGAAGATGATAATAATCCAGTCCTCTGGAGAGCTGGTGCTGGTTATAAATACCGAAAATCTCTCAAATTAAAGCCAGTGGGAGGATGAACACAGCTAGCACACATGGTTCCACTTGTGGTCTGGTAGGGAGTCCCTAAGTGTCTTGTCTCACTATTGTTGCTCTACATTACATTTGGTCTGTTCTCTAGACATGTAGAGTACAGTATGTATGTCGCATGTGCTGTAGTTACATTTTGCCAAAATGCCAGGAAAAATGTCCTCTGTAATGTTAGTTTAACAACAGCTGGATGGAGCATTGTTTGTTAGTTTGTCCTTTAATGTCATTCGGCCCATAAAGATTACAGGGGTTCCTGTTATGCTGGATGTTGGTGAGACTGGGTTGAGGTACTATACTGTATGTGTTTCACTGAGGTCAGAGTTTCATGAGTTTAATAATAATGGAGGCCAGCATACATTATGCTCCTCATGCTTGGCTGTGAGGGGTATTTCACATGGAAACGGATGAGAACAAATCATTTTTAAAATCAAAGACCCCTTTGGTAATTTAGACTTAGAGACTTACCTGAACCACAAGAGAGTAATTCAGATATTACATCTTTTAGAAGGAATTACATCAAGAATACAATAGCATATTCTTGACAGAAAACAGTGTAAACAGCAAACATAATTGGAAAGGACCTGGTCTGTAGTACGGATCATTTCTCCGTTTTTGTCTGAACATGGCTGATGGCCATTGGTTACAGTTTTCAATTTCCAAATGCAGACATTACCTTACCACCATCAGAATTGTGTAATTTATGTATTTATTAATATCGGAGATTCAATTTAAAACATTCAGTTTAAAAACAAAATATTTTTTATCTTATTTTTATTTAATACACAGACTTAGTATTTAAGGTGTAAATGTAAAGAAAATGTGTTTTTCTTTTTACTTTTTGCTGAACCAGAGGTTTAGTCGTTGCAGCTCAGTCTCTGATGCCCTAACTCAAAACACACACAGCCTGATACACACACAGCACTCTTCTCTAAACAATGTACCCTTGGCTGCAGTGAACTGAAACAACACACGTGTTGTTTGAACAGAGACAGTGTGCATAGGGGAGCTGAGGAGGAAATTAACAGTGTAAATTATTAAAGCAATTTCCAGCTTTGCAAACATTGCTGGGAAAACGAAGCAAGCGACTTGTGTGTTCTGAAAGGTTCCTTGGAGACTGACTGCTTCAGTATCCCTGCAGTAGCCCCAGTAATAAGGTCACGTCACCCCTAGGTTAACCCTTATAAGACAGGAAGACACCTGCATTGTGTTTCACATACTCCAAAGAGTCAGGTTGTCATCAATCAATATAAGCA